TTACCTTATTTTGAGGATCATACATAGAACATAAAAGATTCTCCTTTTCATTCTTTAATCGAGCTATGATTTTGATCTAATTTTCTTCTGTTTTACAGCTTTCTTCACACCTTACACATGGTTCCTTGAAGACACAAATAGATCTTCATATGGAACACTCTCATCACATGATTCTACACCAGATCCCCATCTTCCAGTGAGAGCAGTCACCTGTTTATCTATCTCATCTTTAGATTCATCTTCTGATTCATCATCATCAGACCAAGCTACAAAAAAGCCTTTCTTTTGTTTCTTGAGAAAGGTGGGACGTTCTAATTTAATGTGACCAAAGGCTTCACATTCAAAACACTGAATACCTCTATCTAGACTGGACCTCTCTTCAGTTTTGATTTTCCTCTATAAATCAATTTTTTTGCTGATGTCAGATGAGATGTTCTTGACATTTGGTCTTGCCCTTCTGTCCTATCTCTTAAACACTTGATTAAATTGTCTCCCAAGTAGTACAATGGAATTTGGCATTCCTTCCCCAGTACATAGGTCAATTGACCTTCTTCAACTTCAGTGTTGGAAGCAAAAGTTATTCTTTTGTTTTTCTTCTCAGAGTTGCCACTAATAGCTAACTCAAATGTTTAAAGTGAACCAACCAATTCATTCTCTCTCATGATGCTGATGTATTAGGCTTCTTTAATGGCTCTCACCTTTATGTCAAATATCTTAGGAAGAGATATGAGAATCTTTCTAACCAGCTTCTCTTCAGTCATCTTTTCTCCCAAGGCACTAAAAGAGTTTGTTATGTCAAGGATGTTCATTTGAAAAGTCATGGATGCTTTCATCCTTATTCATCTTTAAATTCTCAAATTTGGTAGTAAGCAGCTGAAGTCTAGACATCTTAACTTTAGATTTGCCTTCATGAGTAATTTTGAGAATTTCCCAAGCATCTTTAACCACAATATATGTGTTTATCAGTCTGAACATGTTTTTGTCAACTCCATTGAATAAGGCATTCAAGGCTTTGGAATTTCTAAGAGAAAGTTCATCTTCTTTCATCATCTTCTTCTTTAGACCAATCTTCTTCTGGCTTCAAGGTTTCAATCCCATCTTTTTCCTTCACAACTGGATGGTCTCAACCCTTTATGACAACTTTCCAAGTTTTGTTGTCCAGAGATTTCAGGAATGCTATCATATGAGCTTTTCAACAGTCATAGTTGGTGTCATCTAACACTGGTGGTTTATTGTTGAATCCTCATTCCTTGTCCATGGTCCCAGAAAGTAACTTTCCTGGAGCTCACCATAATCAAAACATGAGACATGCTTTGATGCCAACTTAAAGGATTAGTCCTAGAATAAACTGAAAGTTTTTGAACCTAATATAGTATGTAACAAAGAAGCCTTATGTGCCCATAATCACCATAATAGTGACATCTCCAAGGTAAGAACATGACTTTATTCAAAGTTTTATGATGTCTTCCAGGACGTTGTAACATGTGATTACATATGGTGATCACTTTCTTCTTTTCAGAAGTAGTGAACTTCTTTATATGCACTTTACCTTGTTGATCAGGAGATTGGTCATATCACTAGTATTTCCAACCTCTTTCACTAAATTAGACCTATTGTTCATCCTTCTCAAGGATTTGGTCATGTTTTTAACTTTGGAATTCAAGAAAGTTACCTTATTTTGAGGATCATACATAGAACATAAAAGATTCTCCTTTTCATTCTTTAATCGAGCTATGATTTTCCTCTAATTTTCTTCTGTTTTACAGCTTTCTTCACACCTTACACATGGTTCCTTGAAGACACAAATAGATCTTCATATGGAACACTCTCATCACATGATTCTACACCAGATCCCCATCTTCCAGTGAGAGCAGTCACCTGTTTATCTATCTCATCTTTAGATTCATCTTCTGATTCATCATCATCAGACCAAGCTACAAAAAAGCCTTTCTTTTGTTTCTTGAGAAAGGTGGGACGTTCTAATTTAATGTGACCAAAGTCTTCACATTCAAAACACTGAATACCTCTATCTAGACTGGACCTCTCTTCAGTTTTGATTTTCCTCTATAAATCAATTTTTTTGCTGATGTCAGATGAGATGTTCTTGACATTTGGTCTTGCCCTTCTGTCCTATCTCTTAAACACTTGATTAAATTGTCTCCCAAGTAGTACAGTGGAATTTGGCATTCCTTCCCCAGTACATAGGTCAATTGACCTTCTTCAACTTCAGTGTTGGAAGCAAAAGTTATTCTTTTGTTTTTCTTCTCAGAGTTGCCACTAATAGCTAACTCAAATGTTTAAAGTGAACCAACCAATTCATTCACTCTCATGATGCTGATGTATTAGGCTTCTTTAATGGCTCTCACCTTTATGTCAAATATCTTAGGAAGAGATATGAGAATCTTTCTAACCAGCTTCTTTTCATTCATCTTTTCTCCCAAGGCACTAAAAGAGTTTGTTATGTCAAGGATGTTCATTTGAAAAGTCATGGATGCTTTCATCCTTATTCATCTTTAAATTCTCAAATTTGGTAGTAAGCAGCTGAAGTGTAGACATCTTAACTTTAGATTTGCCTTCATGAGTAATTTTGAGAATTTCCCAAGCATCTTTATCCAGTCTGAACATGTTTTTGTCAACTCCATTGAATAAGGCATTCAAGGCTTTGGAATTTCTAAGAGAAAGTTCATCTTCTTTCATCATCTTCTTCTTTAGACCAATCTTCTTCTGGCTTCAAGGTTTCAATCCCATATTTTTCCTTCACAACTGGATGGTCTCAACCCTTTATGACAACTTTTCAAGTTTTGTTGTCCAGAGATTTCAGGAATGCTATCATATGAGCTTTTCAACAGTCATAGTTGGTGTCATCTAACACTGGTGGTTTATTGTTGAATCCTCCTTCCTTGTCCATGGTCCCAGAAAGTAACTTTCCTGGAACTCACCATAATCAAAACATGAGACATGCTTTGATGCCAACTGAAATTTTGGCACACAAATTCCAAACGTCGAATCAGATGTTACGACACTGAGATCAAATCAGTAAACACAACAAAAATAAATATCCAATTAAGATAAGTTGAAAAAAAAAATAACACTAGCAATTATTAAACTTCAGTGCAACTCCACCTACATTTGGAGGCTACCAAGTCAGAAAGAAAATTCACTAAAATAGAATTAGTTTGAAGCTTTAAACAACCCCTTGAATTAATTTGAATCTGTTTGGCCAAAATTCAAGCAAGTTTGTGTGACAAACCTATTTTCATGTTATTCACACTTTTATTACTGAGTTGGGGGACATTAGATCATCAACTCACAATCTTGAACTAAACAATTTTGTGGGACATCAGACCCTTCTAGTCAAATACAATAAATGTCTATATTCAAAATAGTTATAACTGACTTAACATACTTGAATTTGAAGTCATTACACCTTGCTCCCAACATATGGTTTTTTCTTGATTTCAAAGTTCAAGCAAATTCATCCTTTTTACTATTTGTCCAAAATTTAAGCAAGTATGTGTGACAAACCTATTTTCATGTTTTAAACCAGAGTAAAAGTGCATTAAAATATTTTGAAGAAAATCCCAAGAAAGCAAATGAATTTTTCTAATAATTTCTTTAGATTGAAAAGGATAATGGCTGGCACGTATTTTCAAATTTCAAATGTTAATTTATTTTTATTTGTTTGAATTCACGTTACCTTTATTATAATGAAAAATATATTGTAAATCGTGAATTAGAGAATGGCTTCAAAAATTATTGTGTTTCAAATGTTGGTTTATTTTATATTCAACTGAATGTGATTTTTGGCAATTAACATTGCCTTAATATCATGAAAAAAATATTGTAGATCATGATTAGAGAATGGCTTCAAAAATTGTTGTGATTCCTAATCTCCATATTACGCAGTCCCAATCATGCTCCGCCCTGAAGGTTCAAAGAACCAATGAAATTTAAATATGTAACCGGCTAAATGGAGAAAAAGGAAAACATTATCACCCGTTAAAAAAGAGCTAACATAATCCATCATCATAGACTAAGAAGAATGAGGTTTGTGTCAGGTTTTTAAAACCTCGGAAACATACATGTAGTAGTTTGTATTCAAATACAATTACACAACTTTTGCAACATAAAATAATTTCTTATGTCTCAAATTATCATACTATTTGTAGGTACAATTCTCCAACGTACAACCAGACAATAAACATCCATCAACTACCATAGCTTACTATTGAAACTAGATACGAAAGGCTGATTCTAACGTAAAAACAATTCCCCAACGTAGAACCAGAAACCAAACAACATAGTATTTATCATTAACCTCTTTAAGCAAAGCTACAGATCCATAAAAAACTCAAATCCCTTTGACATAGAAAAATATCTGTCAAAATAAGGAAATATCAAGATAATTCTGTTTCTCCTTTTCTTAGAGATACTTCACTGCCGAGGAAAAAAGAGACATCTTACTTAACTCCTGCTGAAAAACACTCAAAAGCTCACTATGTTACACCTATATCAGCCTAAATAACATAAGAACAAAGCCTTACAATACATTTCAGCTGAAACACAAGAACACAGCAAATCTCTAATCACTATTTTTGCTGATACTACCAAATAATTTCAAAAACTAATGATTTGAAGTACCATATTTGAAAACACTAGTAACATTGTTTATTTACTATATAATGTTGCTGCTATGGGCAATTCTACAATAAATATACAATTTCGTTTGAATAGTAAACGATATATACAAGCAAAGATGTAAATATAGAATAAATTGGAAGAAATCAAGAGAAACTAAAAATTTATAGCCCAAAATCAGCAGAAAACCGGAGATAGAAACATAAAATGTCAGATATAGCTTTCTAGACTAGCAATATGCATCAAGTAACATGCTCAGAGCCCAGTGCATATTCATCATTCAAATTATCAACCAAAATGTCATAAAAAAGAGTAAAGAAAACTGAAAATTATTTAATATTGAAAATGGATCCTCAGAGATTATGCTTATAGTTGACATCAAAATAAACATTCAGGTCTCAAAGATTTCATGCCATCACAGGATCCATCATATTTCATCAATATCAAAAACAGATAAAATCGAAGAAAATTGGTGTTTAGCAGCCTGTTTATTCACTGCACCGGTGGAAATCACGACGGTGAAGCGACTCAACACGGCTGCGAAAATCTATGCCTCTTACAATCATAGACGATGAGATAAACAATGAATCAATGGAAGATGAATCAAAGATATCTCAAGAGGCAAATGAAAATTTCTGGAAAAATTATAAAAACACGAAAAAAAATGAATAATTCATGCGAATAGAATAAATCTAGAGAAAACGAGATTTGTAGATATTTCAGCTGCGACATGAAAGATGAGGGCGTTCTTCTGAGATTTATAGCGAGAGTACTTGAATTAGGGTTTTTTTTTCCACTACGGAAAAGACTGTGAGGACCTCTGTTTATTATTTTATTACGAGTTTGCCCTTACTTGCTTCAATTATTTTTGTTGGTCATTGAACTAAAGAGTCAAAAGGGCCTCCAAACAAAAAGCCCCGTCTCGAATGGCCTAATAATTTTAGGAGTTATTTTTTGAGAATTTAACATGGCATTCCCTATGACATCTCTCTATTTTTAAATACTTTTAAAATATACTTTTTATTATTTAGTTTTAAAAATATTTATTTGTTAAAAAAAATTATTATTGGTGAAAAGGGTTAAAAATGATATTTTTTGCATTGTTAATAAATTTTTGGTGCGAAACTTTATCATATACCATAAATTATTTATATTATCTAAACTTTCGATTGTGATTTATCGAAAATTTCAAAATTTCTGAGATGATTTCTAAAGGTAATTATATAAATTTGAAATTACATAAATTTTCGGTAAGTAGCATAAAACTGAAAATTTCAACCAAGCACAAAATTGGCGGTATGTCTACAAATAAAATTTTATGTCTTTGGGGTTCAGAGTCGGCAACTTCAACTTCTTCTACAGATTTATCTACTGATGGTACGCAGTTCATCACCATAGATACTATATGTTTCCTATTGAATTTATATATTTTTATTTGCTTTTCGACCTTAAATAATTTGATGAATTTTACTAATTATATGTTGTTGTAATTGGCAGGTTTTTGAATCTCGATCTAAAGTTTTAGATTGGGCACAGTCTTGTTTACCCTAGAATTTAGTAAAGAACCGCTGATCTTCTAAATCCTTTAATAGGTTCAGTTACTCACGAGATCGATCAGATTGATCTCATGACTATTGTGTTCTATTATTTAGAAAGTATATTTCGATGATAATCTTTTTTTTTAACAAAAGGAATCACTTCGTATGTCGAAGTGAAACTTCTTTATGAAAGTAATGAAATATAAACTAGCCTAGACTGGGAATTGTAAAGAATGTAAATAACGTAAAGAAATCTCATTAAATGTAAATGACATTGAATTGTAAAATATGGTGCATCATATGTACATTCTCGTTATCTCTTTTCTCTAACGTTGGTACTTTGAGTATTTTGAGTATTTTTGTACAAAGATGTGAACACTTCGAATTGAAACACAAAAGCTACTATTTATAGAATATCGACCCTAACGGTCTTCTAACAAACTAATGTCACGTTTTCGCCGACATGTCTTCGACAATCCAGGAGATTTCATGTGTCCTTCTGGATAAGAATGAACATTCGAATTCAAAACTCTTCGCTATCCGTTTTGAGCGCCAAAACCAATGAAATCTTGCCACGGTCGAAGTATAACATTTTGAACCATGTCTTCGAATAATACCTTTTTTCGCAATTCAAATTTCATAAACTATTCGTCAATTTCGAATTTGAATCTTCATGGTTTTTAACAAACCAAATAGCCAAATAATTTCTCTAAGTATTGACTTAGCTCAACTTTTCCTTAGTCAAAATTTCCAGCCAACAAATTGCCCTCAAGAAATATTTATTTCGAAACTAGAAATGCATATTTTTTGTAATCTCCTCAAATTTCGACCTTCTGAACAACTCATCAACCATTTCAACTACCATGATGTCATTATCATAATGACTTTTGATTCCCAAACGTCTAATCACAGTATGGGTATCTATAAATCTCATCATTAGCTATGATAAATAGTCTTAACCTTAGAACTTACAAAAACCGTTCATCAAGCAAAGGATTACCTTACATGTGTCCCACTATACAGAATCCAACTTCCCGTTTTCCATCAAAAACGGTCCAATCTCCCTTCATATAAATTAATACCATTAATCTTTTTCTTTTCTGCACTTTTTCAAATCAAAAGGTTCTCCCTTCTTCTTCCAAACCTCAACAAACTTTTATGCAACTTCTTCGTCTTCAAAATACAATCAATGGCGTCCCATAAGAAATCAAAGTCTGGAAAGAGAAAATAAAACAAAGATGATGTTGCTTCCAACCCTTTAATTAAAATAATAACACCCATCATGATTGGAAATCAAGAATTTGTTCCCACACCAACTATGAGGAATGAACAAATTGCCATCTACGCTTCTCGGGTAATGATTCCCTTCACTCTTGCTTCTGATACTTTAGGATATATGGGTCATATACTCAATGTATTAGATATATCAAAACTCAGGAGATTTTTTCTTTCTTACCATTTGACTAGAGCCATAGCTAGTAAACCTATGGTTAGTAAAAAAATTGCTGAAAACACTAGGGTAGAACAAAAACGATACTCCTCAAGAGGGTAAAGAACAAAAATGAACCCTCCTTTAAGCTAGACTTAGTCACAGAAGTTCTGAGACCCTTTAGATTAGGTCCATCGGAAGAGGACAAGAAGTACCTTGGATGGTTAGCTAGGATAGAGAAAGCGAAATCGAAAACATGGAAGAAACTGGGAATCTTCGACTTGATTCATCTGTCGAAGTTTGGTCCTGAATATTGTTAGCTAATGTTAACAACTTCCCTGTACTTCTGGGACAATACTTATAACACCTTTCACTTATCCTGTGGAATGTTAACTCCAACACTCTTTGATGTTGCTGCAATCACGGGTCTTCGACCCACATGAGAGACTTTCGATCCCACCTTGGACGCTGATGACTCCATCAACTTCAGCAATGCTTCTCCCACTTACAACAATTACATTGATCACTACTTGGGATCAACAAACAAAGTTAGTGATCAGGAACACATAACTTTTCTTGCTTTATGACTTTCTCGATGTGTCTTCTGCTGTAAATCTTTATAAGTTGCTAGAAGATTTTTGACCCTTGCCAACCAACTCCGTGCTGGTCGAAATGTTTGCTTGAGCAAACTAATTCTTATTGGACTGTATGAGAGTCTTAGGGAGGCTTCCATAAGATTAAAGAACTTTAAACTTGTTGTACCCCAAAATTTGCCCTCTATTTTCTCAAGACATTTTCTAACAAGGATTTTCAAAAGTTCAAGCTTGCACAAGTACAATTGGATTTTTTATGTCCCATATAGTTTCCATGGATCATATTGGTTTTTTCAAGCATCGAGTCAAAAAGGAAATTGTTAAAAGGGCAATGATTTTTTCACAAAATTGAAGTTTGACTGTATGTGGGTCACATTTGACTTTTGACCTAATATAGTTGATTTTCAAGCATCTGAGCAGTTGACTGAGCAAACTTCTTGTGCAAGGCATGAAACATAACATGGATGATCTTGAGAACATATTAGGACCATGGAAAAGATTTGAGTCCTTTGGAGATCACCCATCTTGATGAAAAGGGAAACCCTAGTTGGAGTTTCCTTGCTTTAGGAGAGGGTTTGTCTGGTCAATTCTTGGGTATCCTTGTGCAAGTTGAGGGTCTTAATGAGCATATGTTGAGTAAAATGGGAGGTAAAATTTTAGGGTACAACACTCTGAAAAATCATCTTCGACGTCTCTTTCGTCTGATAAGGCTTTGATATAAGCCACTCTTTCTTTCTTGTGGCTTTTGTTAGCCCTTACTTTTTCGATCTTCAAACGCTCCACCTGTCAAACCATGACAGCTAGTTGTGTCATATCTCTCAGATACTGGGGATCCATCTCCTTCCTTATAGAGAAGTCCAATCCTCTTGCTGCCATTTCGACCAACTCGTTTTCAGGCACTTGTGTGAAGCATCTTGCTTTCAACAAACGGAACCTGTTAAGATAATCGTCTATAGGCTCGCTGAATATGCGCTTAACATTTGCCAATTTGCTCAGGCCGATTTTAGATTGACGTACATAAAATTGTTCATGAAATAGTCTCTCTAAACGAGTCCAATCATGGATGGAGTTCGCTGTAAGAGTAGTGAACCAAGTAAAAACATTTTTGGTTAGTGAACCAGGGAAATACTTAATCCTTAGATTCTCATTGTTTTCTATATCCCCTACTTTTGTAAGATATCTAACAAAATTTTCTATGGTTGACTCGCTAGTGTCACTAGAAAAATTTGTAAATTTTGGCACTTTCCATCCCCTAGGCAACTCAGTTTGCTGAATGTATTCAGACAAAGAGGATGTATAATTTGGCCTTCGCATGCCAATATTTACTCCATTTTGTGCCATGATTCTTTCGACTATGGCTGCTAGATTATTATTTCCTACCATATCATCTTGCCGACATCCTTGGAGGACTTTGTCAGCATCTTGGTTTCGATTCACCATGACTACCCTCCTTCGTGGTTCCTGCCTGGGAATAACCTGTTGAAATCAAGGTGGTTCTTCCCTTCGAACTGGTTGTTGAATTTTGACTTCTGGGTGTATCACTGGTTGGGCTTGGTCAATGGTTGGTTCTTCTTGAAACATGATGCCTTGATTCTCCCTTATCAATGTAGGTTGTGGTTGTCTAATTGGTTCTCTGGGTGCACCAAATAAATCTGCACGGCACCCATTTTGTGATGTCATTTGTTGGTCTGCTTGGGCATTCTGCAAGTTCGTCTGTGTGGTGCTTTGGATTAAAGGGTTAAAAATTGTACTCATTTGTTGGGAGAGTCCTCCCATCATTTCATGGTTACTATCATCCATTTGTTGCCTCAAAACTGCCTGTGTATTTATGGTAATAGGAGGCAATTAAGCAACATATCCTGGTTGCGAATTATTTTGTGACATATGGTTTACCCCTGAACCTGGTCCTTGTAATGGCAAAAAGGAAAATGTTAAAGGACGTGTGTGATACGGTGGGAGAACTGACTTGAGGTTTGCGTTTGTGTTTGCACTTGTTCGGTTTAGCAAGAGTCGCC